TAGTCACTCGTGGAAAATGGAAAAGGGAGAGTGAATCCAGAAGATATTTGCGGTGAAGAAAAGATGCTCAACTGGAGGTGATAGAGGAGGAAATGTATCTAGAATAAAGGGTGTTGTCTGGATTCCATGACAGAATGAAGGACTCAGAAAGGCTCTAGTAGGAGCAGCAAATTGCTAAGCAAGAGAGAACTAATATTCTCTGTATCTGTGCACGCGAAAGGCTATTAGGATGCCCCAGAAATGCCCTGGGTTTATCTGGACTTCCAGCACTGTGTACAGGTAACCTGATTACATAACTGATTACTCTCTCCAGAGAAGAGTCCTTAAAGCAATGGAATGCAAAGAAACACCGGAAAAGGAGAAGAGACCAGGAGGTGATCCTATCATTGTAGCAGTGAGACATTAGTAACTTAGAGTCATTTCCCTATATGCACATTCATCTGATAAACACAGAAATACCATTAGTTTATCTACATATTATTATCATTATTAAGATTATGTGGCGCATGAGGCAACTGATAGATTTTATGTTTTTCTGAAACCGCACAGCTAGGAAATGGGCAAAGGCTGGAACCTGGGGTTTTCGGTAAAACATCTGGTTCTCCTTCTACCATGCCACTGCCCTGTAAGACCCCAGAATCATGTGTGTGGGGAGAGAAGATCCCCAAATTATAAATATCTCTTCAAGTAACTAGAGAAGAAAAAGAAGTACAGAGGGGCCGGAAAAAAGAGAAATGAGCTGGAAGCATGGTGGCAACCATTAACTTGACAGACTCTTAGTGCCGAGTGTTCTTATGACAATCGCAAGTTCCACTCAGGGTGCGCTTTGAAGGACATCAGTGTGCTGCCATGGGCCCTGCATCGCTGCCCAGGAACCGCCTGCCACGTACCTGCTTTATGTGACTCCACCTAGTTACGGGGTTGTTGGCTGACTTTCTGTCTCCCCCTTGTGCAGGGCTGTCTCCGTGCAGAGACCATCGCTGCTCTGTTCACTGCTCTCTACCAATAAGCAAGTGTGTGTGGTTCAACAATACACCGAATGGACACGTTGTGTGCTGTTTTCCCTACTTGTGTAATTACTAATGTCTTTAAATAAGAAAACCCCTGAAAAGAAGAAAAATGCAAAAGGAAATGTGTTTTGATGCAGGAAATATGTACTTAATACATGCTAAAAGGCAAAAGGTGAAAAAAAATGGTGACTACTTCTAAGACATGTAAACCTAAATGGGAAAACTATTTCTGCCTCTTTTTATCATAAAACAGACACACACACATGCACACATGCATGTTACTCATAGAAAACAAAACAAACAAAAGCCCTTCTCTACCTTTCTGTCTTGAGGACAAAGATTCATCCTTTCCAGATTCTGGACATACAATTATTAAAGTCTCCTCTCCTAAAGCCCCTTTTATTAAAACAGAAACAAAAACAAAACCAAACAAACACAAAAGACCTCAGGAAATCTGTGTACAGTGTTACTTGGGTACTCTGTTCTTCTACATTTCTATAAATAAGCCAGATTCCAGCCTAGCTCTTCAATTACTTACACTGAGTAAAATATTGGAGATCATTTGTCCACACCTCTGCAGGGTTTTGTTTTTGTTTTTGTTTTGTGTTGTGTTTACGTTGTACTGTAGTCTGTGCACCACTAACAGATTAGTCATGCTGCCTCCATCATGCATGTGTGTGTATGTATTTATATACATACACATGTGCGTGTGCGTAATTCATGTTTTGGCTTAACATGCAAGCAAATCAAAAGCATGGACCCTGTTTTCTATTTTATTTTGGAGAACCAAGAAGAGATGACAACAATAACTAAATGAGATGTAACAAGGCAGTAACTGGAGTGTTGCAAAAACACCGGGCAGCGGCAACGGGGGCAGGCGGGCTCCCCTGTGGCAGGAAGGAAAGGGTGCCAGGGAGAGCGTCTACGGAGACTTGAGAAGGAAGGAGCCAGACTTTGTTCATGGAAAAGATAAACTTATTAAACGGCGCTGATGGGGGGAGCTGGCGACAAAGGGCCACCCCGGAGACAGAACACGGGGAGGAAGAGTGGACAAGGACGGGAGAGAACTGGTAACTGGGTCGGGAAGGCGTCGGGGACACAGCTGACGGAGACGCTTCCCACAGCGACGGTGTCTAACAGTCTCTCTGCCGATCCCGGGATCCCTGCTGGCTCAGCATAACCTACGCACCTGCATCCATCCACACTCCATCTAGAACACCAGAAACTGTCACGCAAAATATTTAGTTCTACCTTAACTTTAAAATAATTTGAATGCAAACGAATGCCTTTTCTACATCTGTATGAATTTATGTCAAATTATGTAACAAAATCTGTGTAATAAAAGTTAATGCTCCTTCCCCAAAAAGGAGTCTAACACACGGTTGCACTTTCTTACAAGCATTAAATTTCAGCAAGTCTTATTTTTTCTTTAGACAATGACAGGGATGCATTTAATAGAAGGTGTAATATCAATGTATCAATTGCTGCGTCTCATTACCTATTCCCTAAATGCCTCTCAAATTCGTCTTCTCTTCTCCGATCCTGACTCCACTGTGCTGACGTAGGCTCACATGATCTCTCAAGTTTATACCAACGCGCTGATGTCTCTGCCTCCAGTCACGGGTCCTTGCCCTGTGTCCACCCGACTCCTGACAGAGTGACCTCTCTGAGACATGGACATGGCAACGTCATTCTTCTCCTCTGTTTCCTGACACCCACTCAAGCACAGCATTTAAATCCTTCACCTGTCCTTCAGGGTCTCCTCTATGGCTCCTTGAGTGTAGTCATTAATAATCACCAAGGAGAAGAAGAAAAGGCAGATGAGGAGGAAGGCAGAGAGGAGGGAGAGAGAGGAGGGAGGAGGGGGGAGGAGGAGGAGGGAAGGCAGTAAGGAGGAGGGGGAGGGGTGGGGCAAGGAGGGAGGAGGAAGAGGGAGGAAGGGGAGGGAAGGGTGGGGAAGGAGGAGGTAGTGGAGGGGAGGGGAGGCAGGCAGCATTAGGCAGACAGTGTTCTGGGTGCTTCACTCTGGCCTCATGTTCCTCACAAGGGCCTTCACATGCTGGCACCCAGATCTGAGACTCCCAGATCCTGGAACTCTTTGTTTATAAGCTACCCTAACTGAGGCATTTTGTCTTAGAAACCTGAGCAGACAAAGTTCAAATGCTTAAAATCACTGAAACCCTCAAGGAGTTTAACATCAACAAAAATACTTTCCAAGGAGCTCAATGTAAAATTAGGTACTGAAATTATTTGAGATACAAATGTATGTGTATGCACGTATGTGTATACATTTGCGCCCCCAATGTACACCCATGATACATATGCACATACAGATGTACGCCTGTGTGGCCTCGCAAGGCCTCCAGGGAAAGCTGTCTGCCCTCCACCTTCCCGAAGGAAACCCCAGGGACGGACTTTTGAGAGCGTTTGCTGATAACGCCTCCACTCTATAGCTCATCAGCCATATATGACTGTCTCAAGAATTTGGTCACACATGTGTCATTAGTTTTATCTGAGAAAGCTGAATTGTTGACTGTGTATACAATGAACTACATTAATCAGTATCTCATTACTGAATTAATTTTTATTGGATTTTTACTAGACTAGTATGGTGGGAGCAGCTGTACTTGGCTGTTTAGAAATCTGCTCCGCTAAACTGAATCTTCTTGAGGACAATTTCTTTTTAAATTTCTCTCTAGAACACACTACCTAATAGGTTCTCCTAAAATATAAATCTATATGCATTAAATTGTCTTATAATTATGATTTACAATTAATATATTATTTAATATACACTGGGTAATACATTCATATTTATTCAATAATAATGTACATCCCATTAATATTAAGAAAATTGTATATTTATATATTTTTAACACTTATTTATTTTTCATAGAGTGCAAGTAGGGAAGGGGCAGAGAGACAGGAAAGAGAGAGAATCCCAAGGAGGCTCCATACTATCAGAGCAAAATCACCCTGATGTGGGGTTTGAACTCATGAACTGTGAGATCTTGACCAAAGCCAAAACTGGACATTGAACTGACTGAGCCACCCAAGTGTCCCTATTTATTTATAAACATATATATTTCTAGTATTCTTTTTAAGAAGACATTCCACAATATGACAAATTGTAATATTCATTACTACCAGACACTGAGCCTCCTAATTATCTTGTACATGCAATTTTATGTTAATGCTTCACATAAACTGACACATGTCACTTGGTTATACAGCAGCCTGTCACTGGGTTATATATGAGTCAAAGCAAAAATAAGACCTGGAAAGACTATAAATCATTAAGAGAACATTAATGTTTCAACAGAAGAGGAGTGTATCAACTAATCTCTAATTGACATTGGAAAGTGATTTTCATTTTCCCACCTTATTTCTCAAAGGTGTGCAAGTCAAACGTACAGATTGAGGTACACCAACACTTCTTATCTCAAATTCTTTGTTAATGCTTCTAGCAAGAGTCATTGTCTGGGAATCTTTACATAACCACTCTTCTCTCTCATGCTCAGTATGTAATATGCCTTCATCACCATGTGCTTACTCGGGAAACCCCCTTATTTGGAAGGTCTCCCAAGGAATCAAATTAAGTCTAATTATACTTAATGGCAGTGACTGCTTCTTAATTTGGATGGTAATTCTGCTTAATTGAGATGCCTTCAGGTGTCTAAGTGGTGCTCTAGCAAGAGTATTGGTGTGCAGGAGTGCGTCAACCTGGAATGTCTTGTTTCTTCTCTGAACATTTCACCAAAATAAACAAAGAAAGGCAAAGAAGTTACTGAAGCACTATAACACAAGATTCCTGAAATGTAACTTAACTGTTGCCTGTTTAGCATCAGCCAAATTTATATAGAATCATTAGAAAAATCTGTGTAAATGCATACAAAGATGAGTTAGAAAAGCAAAACCCCTGAAATGAGAGAAATATGTAAATCCAAATGGCATGTGTCCATTATTTTATTTATCGTTTTGCAGTCTGGCCATGTTGAAATATCGTCAGAGAACACACCTCATGCATTTTATCAGACGTTAGCCTTCTGGAGTCTGGCAAAACAGGAAAACAATGGGATCTGAAGTGCATCATCTACAAAATATGAACCTGATAATAACCCAAGTCTCTTTCTTCGGCATTTTGCTTGTGTGCACAACTGGTTTCCCACTACCATCAGCCTGCTTTCTGCCTTCCAGAGGCTTTTTCCTCCGGGCTCCCTAGGAGCTGGACCATAGGCATTCGATTCGGGTGGACCTGAAGGGAAGTCCGCTAGGGACATTCTAGAAAATTCCTTCCATTTTTTAGAAAGACATGGCTCATTTCTCCAGTGAACAGGATTATGCCAGAGCTATCTTGTGACCTGAGGGGGGCGGGCATCATTACTGCCCTGGAAGGTGGAGCAGTAAAGAGGGGAGTCACTTAAATCCTCAGCAATGTTCCTGAGCTCCTGAATTAAAATGGAATCTCACTGGCTCTCCCCTTTTGTCATGCGAAATAATGTTTCTTCAACCCTTTTTCTAAGACCTACAGCCCCAAAGCTCCTATCTAGGCACTGAAGAACCTATTACTCCGTTTCCACATGGCGCCCCGCACAGTGATGATGGAATGTGTAGCTGTGGGAATAAATGGGTCTTCTTAGGAACAGAGCTAATGAAGGGCCGTCACAGTGCAGTAAAGAGACACACACGCTCTCATCCTTTCTTAGGAGCAAAATGGCCAGGAAGACTTTACCAAGTGTTTTCATTCCCTGGATCTCGGTTTCTTGTCTGTCGGGTGAAGGGTTCAGATAATAGAAAGTCTAACCTTCCTTTTGTACAGAGACTTCAAGTATTCCAGTATGTACGAGAAAGAAAGAAAACCAGATACATGGGTGTATGTGTAATAATCAAAATATTCATGATTGTTTATATGCAATCTAGGTCTAAATGAATTTTGAGACATTGTGAGGGTGTGACTCAGATTCCCTGAAGACTGACCCTGGAGCCAGTGCGTGACCTATCACAACAGCCGGGGTCTGCTGACCCTTCCATACAAAGGACTCCCGCACTTTACAGCCCTTCACCTGACATGCAGAATTGCAACAACCCCATCATTCATTACAGGGAGGCTCGGTCTCCCTCCCAGTGACACAGAGAGAAAATATGCCACCAGCACGAGTCTCTTTGACTCTATTTGGCTTCTCCACATGACATGGTGCATATCCTAGATCCTGGCAGCTAACAGCACACTTGTGAATTCCACATTTACCTCTACCAGTTATATCCACTTGAATGAATATACAGCAGGTGCCTCACTCTCATTATGCCTAAAACCAAACTCATTATCTCTTCCCATTAAAAAAAACAAAAAAATAAACTCCTGCTTCCTGAGGCCCTTTCCCTGATTCAAGGTAGGGAGAATTTATATTATTCCAAACTAGAATGATCTGGAGAATAAAAGGTCACTATTAACAATGGTGCAGGAACTGTGCATGTGGAGTAGACTGCCCCGGGGGGGGGGGCGGTGAGGGGGCTGCAACGTTCCCTCATTCTGGTAAGGGCTTCACTGCTCCCCCCTAAAGCCACTGTTGATCCCGGCTTGATTCCATGACCCTCATAGTTACTGTACTGTATCCTTCAGAGCTGCTAAGAGAACAGATCTCAAAAGTTCTTATCACAAGAAAATAACTTGGTAATTATATGAGATAATGTATGTTAACTGTTTTGCAAAACATACATATATCGGATAATTACATTATGCACCTTAATGTTATATGTCAATCATATCTCAACAAAACTGGGGTGGGGGGTAGGGAACATAGACATAACCTTCAGAACCAGGAGGAGGCAACCAAATGAGCAAAACTCACTTTATACTGGAGTCCTAGACTTCGTCCACTACGGGTGGATATATGTGCTCAGAAGGCAGCCTGAGCTCTGAATGCAAACAGCAAACTGTAAGGGGAACCACATTCACAGGGCTGTTTCTCTCAAACAGCGTCCGAGTCAGAGCGCCCATGATACCGCGGCACCAAGGGGGAAGGTGGAAAACTTACCTTGTCCGGATCTGTTGTGGTAATGACCCACACACAGTGAGCATTGTCTTCATACTGAACTGGGTAATTCGGGGAGGTAATGATGCCGCTGGGTCCACGCAGATTCGATCCACATGTTCTAGCTAGAAAAAAACAGAGATCGTGTGACTTTCTTCAACACGTTATCTGTGTGCTGAAGACAAAACAGGCACATGAAACATCAAGTTAGCTGTTCACCAGTTACGATAAAATGTGGTTCAAGAACTCAAGTTGGCAAGTACAATGGACTCAGCCATCAGGTCCCTTTTCGACATCTGCAATGTTAGACTGGAGCTCTCTGTGAAATTTCCCAAGGCTCCATTCACAGGATGACCTTGTCGCTGATATCACCATGGGTGATGCCAGATCAAATAAGTCCATCTCAAAACCCAATCTGACTCAGAGAGAGTCTGCATTCCCTTGGTGGGACACAGATGCAGCAAGATAGAGGGGAAAGTGCAGGGCAGCTCGAGACCCCCAGACCCCCATGCCCTACGCTGTATGACAATTCCACCTCTCCATTCTAAATGTGATGGTATGACAGGTCATCTCCAAGGTCTCTTCCAAGCTTTAGACTCCAGTCTATAGTCAATGATACAAATTGCCTTACAGCACAATGCAAGCAGGAGATTAACATGTAGTTGACAATTTAAAGAAAGAAAATAGAAATGGTAGCTCTAAAAGAGAAATGACCTTAAACTGAAAAGACCCAGAAAACTACAGAAATGACATAACCTAACAAATGTTACTGAGGTTTATATGTAAAAATTGTATTTCAGGGGCACCTGGGTGGCTCAGTTGGTTCAGCGTCAGACTCTTGATTTCGGCTCAGGTCATGCTCTCAGTTTGTGAGATAGAGAGCCCCCCACCGGGCTCTGTGCTGACAGTGTGGAGCCTGCTTGGGATTCTCCATCTGGGATTTTCTCTCCCCTGTGTTCTCCTTCTCCTTCTGTCTTTGTCCCTCCCCTACTCATGTTCTCTCTTTCTCTCTCAAAATAAACATTAAAAAAAATTTTAAATGTATATATTTCAACTGACCTCCATTTTATGAATGGAACTTTCTTCTTCTTCTTTCAAACTGATACATTATTTTTATAAACCAAAAGTCAGCCTGCAATGGAATCTAGTCTTAACATTAATAATATAAACTGGGGGGCGGGGATGGCGTGCCTGGGTGGCTCAGTTCATTGAGTATCCGACCTTGGCTCAGATCAGGATCTCATGGTTTGTGAGTCCAAGCCCCACATCAGGCTCCTAGGTCTCAGCAGAGCCCACTTTGGATCCTCTGTTTCCCTCTCTCTTTGTCCCTCCCAATCTCTCTCTCTCAAAAATAAATATACATTTAAAAAATAATTTAAACTGGGTTTGTGAAAAGAGCAAAAGAAACTGATTTCACAATATAGAGCTAATACAAGGAAAGCACTAGTTCATATTTCTAAGGTTTCATATCACACAAACCAATTAAACTGTCACCCAACAAAAGCTGAATCCATATCATGACCCATCTTGCCTTTGATCTTTTCCTTGGCTGCATGCCCCTCCATGGCCAGCTTTATTCTGGGAGACGTAGTCAGAACAGGATTCTGACTTCCAAGGGCCATCTTACAGCAGACAAGTCAGGAGAAGCCAAGTAACTGAGCTCTTTCCGGCTGCCCCCAGGAATATATGCCTCTTGTCTATTTATATGGACATAACAATAATGTAATTCATACCTATTCTTGATAAGAGTTCTTTATCGTAATGACTCACACATCTATCTGTCGTACAACGCTGTGTTTTTCTACCTTGGGAAAGCACCTCCCCTGAGCAGCAGCACCATGGCCAGCGTCTAGAGCTGCTGACATAAACATGGGGCAAGAGTAGACAATTTTCAGTAGCTCGATACTTAGTACGAAAATAATTAGCTAAGAATTAACCTATACATCAATTAACAAAAATACAGGAAAACCAACATTTAACATGTTGGCATTTACTTTGAAAATGGACAAGATTTCTTAAATAAAGATGCATAAAAGATGATCAGGCCAAGAGCTAACTGCACACAAAGACATCTACCTCTACAGGCTATAGAACCCGCTTTTAGGAGCATGTTGTCAGAGAGTCAATGAGCTTCAGATGCGAAAGTTTCCTAAGGCGCCCTGTGAGCAGTATTCATCAGAAAATCTTAGAAGAAAAGTTATCATCAATACATTTTGATTTACAATGCCTTTGTGTTACACACTCATTCTTTGTTAAGTTTCATACTGAAAAGTTGCTATTATGTTATGTTACTCGGTAAATATTTTTTGATTTAATTTTGAATTAATATTACCGATGTGCCATTCTAAGTATGTCAACCTTCAAAAAAACATCAGAAGAGTGAGTGAGTGAGTGCAGTCGGGAACTAATTGTTACATTCCCACCGACAATCTGTGCCCAGCCAGTCATTAGTCCCAGCTGTCACTCTGCTGAAAAGTTCACCGAATCTGACATCCCATCAACGGCCTTATGTCCCACTTGTCTGCTTTCAAGCTTGACCCTTAACTTGACTTATTCAAATTGCCTCCTCAGCGCTCCATGAAATTCATCTTACCCACTGCTTGGAGAAATGGGATTTTTAGTGATTATATATTTTAGTGAGATAACTATTAGTAAAATATGTATAGGAAAGCAGTACATTTCCCACATTTTCGTGCATATTTAGGACTGTGTTTCACATAGAGTGAGTTATGAATCCAGCCTCTTCAGGGATCTTTTTCATCAGAAATTGTCAAATTAATTTGTAAACTAATTTTTGTTTTCTTTTTGTCATAGAAATAGATCTCTATTTTTGTAATACATTTTTCTAATCCATTAATTTTAACTTTTTTTTTTTTTTTTTACCAATTCTTTCAATCAGTCCATCAGGGCAGGGATTTTTCTCTGTTTTAACCACTATATTAATTTAATACTAGGAACACTTCCTAGCATTTGATAATTTTCTTCCTAAATACTTGTTCGAGTTTTTTAAATCAGATGTAATGACCTTAAATAATATGATCTAACTCTAATTATTTAATTATAATCCTCTGCTTTAGGAAACTGTTAGAACTTTAGCTGGGACCTCAGTCTTTGTTCTTCTAAATCTTCCCCACCCTTATCATCTGCTTCCTCAATGAATGATGATACTGTCATCACCATACCAATCAGGATTCACTGGTACAGCCTTCTGTATCAATATTCTTCTACTAATCACAGATAACTCGGATTTTCCACTGGCAACCACTCCAAGTTCCATCATTCATGTGCAGAGTCCTCACTGAATACGACTACTGTGTCCTGAACTGTCGTGGGTCTGTGCGTTACTGTGCAGGTGCGTACAGTGTCCACTGTGCAGACTAGCTGTGACCTTCTGAATCTCCTGCAGTCTGTCCCCTGGGGCCTTCTTTCCATTCTATGGTTCTGCGGCAGGGTTATATGAAATGGCCAGATCCCTGAACATTATTTATTTTTATAGTTTGTGTGTAAGCAGAGAGAGAGAGAGAGAGAGAGAGACAGCAAGCAAGCAAGCGGGGGAGAGGCAGAGGGAGAGAGAGAATCCCAAACAGGCTGAGCTATTGGCACAGAGCCTGATGCAGGGCTTGAGCTCACAAACTGAGAGATCATGACCTGAGCCAAAACCAAGTGGGAAGCCTAACTGCCCGAGCCCCCAGCCCCTAATACCCCGAGTTTTAGAGCAGAGTGAGTCCCACTGCTAGCCGTGCCACACTCCATGTCCTCCCCTCGTCAGCTTCAAGTACCTGAAAGTGAATTTCCTTCACATCCACTGGATGTCACTTTTCTGTTAAAAACCTGCTCTTGGGGAAGAATGGGAAGAGCTGAAAAAGGACACAGGCCAGGCAGGGGACGATGGAGGAACCAGCACTGAGGGCGGCACTGAAATGTGTCTGATGGGTGGGCAACAGCTGGCGTAGACCCATGAGAATGTTCAGTCAGTGTGCTTCTGTGCCCGGCCCCTCACCCAAGATTGTGTTCGCTAAGGATATGGGGGAATGGCCTGCGGGGCAGGAAGAGCGGGAGCTGAGGGCTTGGGTGGTGCGCCCAGAGCCTTCTAAAGGAACATGGCCCGTGGCAGTTTACTGCAAAGCACATCTGTGTTGCTTTTTCTGACTATAATCGAACAAGAACTCGACCAATGTTGTGCAGATTCATAAAACCATGGTATTTTCTGACACGGAAGGCTGGAGCCCTGAAGATCTGCCACATGGCCTGCCTCTCTGCACCCTGGCCTCTTTGCTGGGTCCTCACTGCATGCTAGGCATGGACCGTGGACCTTCTTGGACACGTACGATCCTGTTAGCATAGCAAACCTGTTCTAATTATGAGTGAGCAATTTCACAGTGTCCTTGGAGGTGGGGGGTCTTCCTCCAAACAGCTGCTTCTGTACGGAACAGGCATCCAATTAGCCAACAAAGGATTTAATGGCCGACATAATTTAGTAATGACACTACAGTAATGTCAAACAAGGTTTTATAGCTACATTTAAATATATCCCCATAATTGAAATGTATACGTGCGTGTTTGTATATATTACAGTTGAATACCCCTTCCTACACCTGCTACGTGCTCTTCCTCATCAAGATCCTCCTGGAAATATAACCTCTAATGTAAAGTAATATATACTTAAATGATCAATAATGCTTACTACATGGTCTTTGGTAATAACCATGACCAACGTACAGGTAATATTACTCACGTGGCAGTGTTCTATACTTGTAAGCTCAAAATTTACTTATATGTTTTATGTTTTTAAAATTAAGTAAGAATCACAAAATGATAGTTGAAAATATATCAAGAGGGAAAGCAGACAGGAAGAAACTGATTTTGGATGCAAATATATGCCATTTATCTATTGAATCAATGAATATTAGGTATAAAACATATTTGTTTCACATAATCTATCTTATATAATAAGAAGTAATCATTTGTCTATCTAGGTAAATTCAGTTCCAGGAATTTGTACTGTTCTATAGTAACTAATTAATCACATTAATTGGAGAGGAATATTCTCACTGACCACATTTAAATTAAGAGGCTACCCTGACTCACATCTGGTGCACGTTTCAAACACTTTAATAGCATATTT